CTACTTTTACATGAAGCACACAAAGTACTTCGAGGTCACATGCAGGTTCCCAGTAGGTGCAAAATTCATGAGGAGCAAGTACCTACAACAATTCCGGCACCTACGTAGCCAGCCTGCGGGTAAGCAGTCTTCGTTAGGAACCTCAACACAATGGCATTTGACCTTGAGTTGTAAGGAAGTTATGGATATAAACCCGACTGGAGACTTAGAAATATATTTACGATAGCAGAATCAACAGAAAACGTCAGGGGTAGGCACCCGAAGGGGACCCGATGGAAAAACATGGCTCTTTGGTTACATTCTAGAGAACAACAATCCTTTTGTAGACTATATGAGTGTCTATCCGACTTGGGCAATTCCAATTGAGCACCAACGAGATTCTCTCTGATAACCAGGGAAAAGCTGTCATTAGCCGAATAAGCGGTGTTCCCTTGTTACCGTAAAGTGGACCGTCAGGACGTGAGGAACCAATTCCTAAATGAGATATGGCTACAAGGTTGGCACTCCCGTTCTTTGGATAAGCCCTGTGCATTAGTTCATATATATGTATGACTGACTATGTCATCTGCATATTATAGGTCTAACAAAAATTCTCCTGCGATTAGGTCAACCTTTGTGTAACCTGGTGACGAGAGGGAGACCTCCATAAGAATATCGATAATAAAATTGTATAAGAATGGAGATAATGGGCACCATTGATGCACACCACTCGACGAGCATAGCTCCCCGAAAATCTCACCATAGGCTCTAACATGCCCACAAGTTTTCGAGTTGAGGGCTTTCCATAAGATGATGTACTTACTCGGTCCCCCTTTCAGTGAGAGACAGTGCCATAAGACTCCTCGATCAACGGAGTCGAATGCCGCCTTCACGTCGGGAAATACAGCTAGTGTCGGGCGTCGGTAAGCGCACCTATATCCCAGGACCTAGCGCAGTGCGAATATTTAGTCGATACACCTGCGACTCGGTCTAAAGTCTGCCTGCCTACCTGGTTTTCTTGGGCTTGCTGTTCCCTAGCTTCACTCATGCGTCGGAGAATTATAGAACCTAGAATCTTAGACACTATGTTCGTCAGGCTGACTCCTCTGTGATTATCACAAGAGGACTTCTCGTCTTTCTTGAAGACTGGGATAATCAGTGACTTTGACCAGTCAGAAGGGATCACACTTGATTCCATTTACTGGTTAACACTTCCATTAACCTGAATAAGAGCACCTTACCACCATCCTTGTATACCTCAACAGGTAGTCCGTCTGGCCCTGCTGCTTTTCCTCCTTTCAGGTTACCTACCACTCTCTCGACTTCTCCTAGTGTTGGGCGGCCTATCTCAATGTTTAATTCAGGATTCGACTGGATAGCGGGCAACGCAATGGTGGCTGGAGGCCAGTTAAACTGTTCCTCGAAGTGTACTGTCCATTGTTCCAGTCATCTCCACTGAGAGTGAATCGCAGATCCGTGCTTCTCCACTATAGCTTCACTAGCCGCAGCTGACCTTATCCCCCCCCCAGTCTTCGTAATAGGTCTAAATAACTGTACTGTTACCGATCACCACTGCCTTTTCCATCTCTTTAGCCGTTGTCTTTGTGGCGAAGGCCGTGTTTCGTGGAACCACCACATGAGTAACGCAGAAGTCAGGTGTAGAGTTTTAGGGAGTAGAGGTAAATCGGTTGACGAGGTTGTGAACCATCATCGACTGAGATGGTTGGCTCTGACATGTGTTACGTGTGCCTAGTCGCCATCTATCTCGTCACACAATGTTGACCGAAGTAGGTCCAGGCTGGAGAAAGACCCGAGGTGGCCAGACTAAAACATGAGACCAGTGTTTGAAGTGTGTGACTGTTGGTTTGAGCCATATGAGCCGATGCAGTCTTGGTGGTTGGGGTCCGCGGGATAAGAAAAACCAGTGGTTGGAGACTGACACTAGGTGATCACATGGCTGGGAATTGATGTGAGTGGCGCAAGTGTACAAACACATTATCCTCACCTTAACGCTATACCGAATCTCACCATTTTCTCATTCTCCCTTGCTCTCTTTCAGCACGTTATATTTCTTTTGACTGCATTTTCTTTTCTGCATCTTCCACTTCACTGCTTTTTACTTGATGTACTGGTATGAGCTGTGGCACCTCGAACCGTTACGCAGTAATGTCTGGTCCTATGTTGATGATGATGATGGTCAAGTGACGGGAGAGAGATCCCTCGAGGCCGGTTTTTGACAAAATTAAATGAGAATGAGGAAAGTGAGCATCTTTAGACACGGCTTGAGTTAAACAACTTCTATGATACCTCACCATAACCCTTTTCGTACCCACGATTGTTCAAACATAACGGCTTCAACGTAGCGACGTAGTTACCTGGCACCCGTTGGAGTGAGAGAAACTACCATAAGACTAAGACTTTTCAGTCAATAGAAGCAAATGTCACCTCCTGGTCGAGACGTGTAGTTAGTGTCGGACGCTGGTGTCTGTGTTCCAGAACCTGGCGAAGGGTAAATATCTGGTTTGCTTACTCATGACTAGGTCTAAAACCTCCCTGGTTTTCTTGGGTTCACTGTCCCCGGGCTCCCTTTAGACATCTGATAATTATAGAAGTTAGCATTTTGGACATTTCGTCACCCTGGTCTGCCTGTGGTTATCTTAGTAACATTTTTCGCCCTTGAAGACTGCAATATTTAGTGATTAAGACCAGTCAGAGAGGATCGTTTTCGATTCCCGTACACTAGTTGACACTTCAGTCACTGTGGCTAATAATCATCGACCACTCCTTAAATGCCTTTAGTGTTTGCCCACCGTGACCTACCGTCTTTCCTCGTTTCATGTTACTTGTGACCTTCTCAACTTCTACTAGAGTTGCAGAGCTTGTATTCCATTAAGGATCTGAATTTATGGCAGGGAGCAGTAGATTAGTTTAACTTTTCCTCAGTGTTCCAACCGTCTTCCCAGTTGTCTCCGCTATGAGTAAACCGCAAGCTCATCCTTCTCCATCATAGTCCCATTAGACCATTGACTTTTTCACCTGTTTTATGACCGGTTACCTATCTTCACTTTCTTTTATGTCTCGACCTTTGCTGTGCACAGTCATAGCGTGGACTACCTGTCAGCATACATGTGAATTACTTCATCTCTTCATTGTGCTTGTAGCGTGCAGAAATGCGTTCGCGTGTATCTATCAATGCAAAAGTTGCTGAAGTTCATTGGCTGTTTCTGGAAACTTTCTGTTCAGTTATGATCTTTAACTCTGTTTTTCCACACACTACAGATGACGCCAGGCTTCTTCCAGATGAATGAGGTTCTGTTAAGATAACTCTAGCTAGTTTCTTACTGAATGCAATGGTCTTGTTGCTACAGTTTTTCTATTTCCATTTAAAAGCAGACAGGTGTGCTTGAACCGATGCATGTTCAGTGTCCACGCACGCGCGCATGAGTGGCAATCTTCTACTGAACCTCCTAAGCAATAACTGATAGTAATATGGTGGTGTCACCATGTGAGTAATGCAGAAGTTAGGTGTAGAGTTTTAGGGAGAAGAGGTAAGTCAGTCGACGAGGTTGTGAACCTTCATCGACTGAGATGGTTGGGACACGTACTACGTATGCCTAGTCACCGATTGCCTCGTCACACAATGTTGGCTGAGGTGGGTTCAGGCTGGAAAAAGGCCCGAGGTGGCCAGACTAAAACATGGCACCAATGTATGAAGTCTCTGACTGTTGGTTTAAGCCATGTAGGACGATGCAGACTAGGTGGTTGGGGTGCACGGGACAAGAGGAACCAGTGGTTGGAGACCCTAGGTGATATGGCTCAGAACCGAAGTCAGTGGCGCAGATGTATACACACATTATCCTCATCTTAACGAGGCTATACCGAATCTCACTATTTTGTCACTCCTCTTTCCTTTCTTCTCATACTTTATATTTCTTTTGACTGCATTCACTTATCTTCATCCTTCACCTCACTACCTTTTTACTTGATGTGCTGATATGAGGTGTGGCAACTCGGACCGTTACGCAGTAATGCCTGGTCCTATGTTGATTTTGATGATGATGATGAATATGGACTGTTTTGGTTCACCGATGGGTTGAAAATGATGGATATCACATCAGGCAGTCTCTTCGTGTCGGGATTTATTGCTAGCCAAATATTTATGATTGTCTGAGCACAGTTGTAGCCGGTGATCACCGTAACCTGTTCCTTTGACTGAGATTCCGAAAGTGCCACCAAAGTGTCCATCTGTCTGGCTTATTTTACCCACCTACTGAAATGCATTGCTACGACAATTATATCTGAATGTTTGGTTTTCATCAGGGGGCTAAGGGGTTCTCTGTAGCACTCATCCCTCATGTTATGCAGACTGCTTTCAGAGCATAAGCAGTAGTTACAAAGAGACAACGGCGTTCCATTTCATTCTAGTTCTGACTGCACTATTTAGTTAAATAGCACCCAAGTGACTCAACAGAAATTCACTCGAGTAGTGCATTTTCTGTCTTGGAACTTGATGCTATATCTACTACACCTGCAAAACCGTGAGTACCAACCATTAAATCTGCCAAAGTTCTAAGGGAGGATTTTGTAAATTCACCAACTTAGCTGGGTGAGGTTAAGTGAAGGATCATTCGTGGATCTTGTGAACCTGTCTTAGCATAGCACACGTCTATGACCTTAGATACTAGAATTACAGCTGTGGTTAAGTATGAAGGTTTGAATGTTAGTGAATATTAATCCACATATTACACTTTTATTGATTCTTTCGATTTCGAGAAACAAAGGCATATGGAGATTTGCCCACTAATTTCGTATGCACTGTACTTTAATTTCGGTTCTATTCTAATGACTACCAGTCACTTTCACATTCCTCTTTAGTCCCGTTTAAGACACACCAACCAAGATATATCTGGTCATTTTGTTAGTAAACTTTGTCACCTTTTTTTCAGAGTACTAATGTCAGTCAGTTTCTGATATATTTATTTTATTTACCAGCTGAAGTTCCGTATAAATTGAAGACTTGAATGTCTTACGAAATGTTACCATATTCCAACCGAGGAAGTGGACGCGATTATCGTAACGGCTCTCGACATGCCGAACCTCCGTAAGTACTACCCTCTTTTTTATCATTTGAATATGGATCAATACCTCATAGTTGAGGGAGACGTGAACACTAAAATAATATAGTTTTGTACATTTGCTGTAAACGTTTGTAGTATTGAGGCTGAGATAAAAAAGAACAATATTTATATTGCTGCGGAAGATTTTCTTCTGTAGACATCCTAACCTCAGTGTCGCATTAGAACTTTCTAACATATGATGATAACTCATGTTTAAAAGTGTCGTACACTGTCATAGTGAGTAACAATAAAACCTTCGGAGTTACATGATAATTCACATAATACTTTGGTTCCTAAGGTCTTTGTGGGCCAATGGAATGGGTTGTAATTTAGAATATATTTTCCTGGTGATGAATGTTTTTATTCCACTATCAAAGCTATTAATTAGTTATGCAAGCATCTGGTTAGTCACGGATTCATTTCGTAATCAAGCAGTTTGAAAATAAACAGTCAGATAATGTCATCATCCTTAGCACGATGAATGTAGTCGATATTCAGCATTTCATCGATACATGGTCGAGTTGAATACTGAGTGAGAAACATTACTAAATAACCTGTTATGAAAATCCAACTTGAACACAAGCGACACTATATATATATATATATATATATATATATATATATATATATATATATATATATATATAGGCTGACGAAATCTGCAGGGATACAAAGGGCTCGGTTGGCTTTTGTCAACTTAAGCCATATGTGGCACTGCCGTGATATCCTATTCTCTATGAAGAGTCGTACTGTACTGTGTACTGTGCTGCAGTCCGATTTGTTCTACTGTATGACTGTGAAACATGGCCATTAAAGACATGAGAAGGCTTCAGGTGTTTGACCACTGTTCCCTTCGTAGCATAGGCATACGCATTTAAGATTTCTTTAACTTTAACAAATGAATCTGATAACAACCAAATGGTTTAGTCTGCGTTGTTTGTTATTTCATGTTGTGGTGATTTCTATAAGCGTTATTGATTTTGTTTGTTTTTAATCACCCTATCGACAGAAAAATTTGTTTCTTGTCGTCATTTGTCGTAATCACTAACTATGATGTCTGAGTCAGGAAACGATCTAGTAGAGTAGTTGCATCGGTCAAAATACTGAAACTGTTTAGTATTTGAAGTCCCATGACACTTTTTTTAATGCATTTTAGGTACGAAAATTCTAGCTCAAAGAAACGCTACCGAGATGCTCCATTCCAGTCCCGAATGTCCTTCGAAAATGATGTAAAAGACCGGAGTATGATTGTTATGATCCAAATAAGGAGTTTACTTCTCCTAGCAAAGAACTTCGACGAAATAGACATGATGTCGGAAAGTACCGTCCTGATTCACGCTACAATCGTGATACAAATGTCAGTCCAATTCCAAAGAAGCGTAATAGAATGGATCCTCGTGGCGATGCACCTCCTCCCAAGCCATCTCGTGTGCTTGGTGCTTTTGGACTGTCTATGCGTACTGAAGAAAGACATTTATACGACATAATGAAAAAGTATGGTGATATTGAAGAGATCAAAGTCGTTCAGGATAATTTATCTGGTAAATCAAAAATACACTTTTGTGTATGGTCAGTTCCCTCTAATATGTACAGAATCTTTAGAGTTATTAATTGACTATGATCACTGACGTAACAGCCATTTGGAGATTTCATGTCATTAGCTGCTTTGTGAACTCTAAAGCAAGTGGGATAATATTTCGTTCGAAGACAAGGATCGCACTCCAAAGGATCTATTTATTACCGAGTGATCTACTACCTTTACTCGTTATTTTTCATTTTGTTCCTAGTGGAACGTAGGGCTTCAGTAGCACATTTCCACTGCTCTCTGTTCTCCACAGTCTTTTCGACCTGGCGCCACGACTGCCCACAAGCTTTCATTTCTTCCTCTCATGATCTCCATGTCACCCTCACCTCGGATGCCCAACTCACCATTTCCCTTTTGGATTCCACTCGAGGGCCTGGCACGTGATGTCTCCAATCGGCCTCCTCAGTCCATGCCCCATCCATCTCCACTCTCTTCTTCTGCATATTTGTTGGGTGATGGGTTCTTGGTTGGTTCGTTGCCAGTCAACCAGAGTTTCTTGTTGCTTATTCTTATTCTGACCATCTGATCTTCAGTGTCAGTATTGAGTGAGCGTAGACTGCAGCTGTTGATGGATGTCTGTAGTTTGTTGGAATTGCTTTTCGTAACGCGTCAAGTTTCTGAACCATGATAGCAGCACTGATTTGACTGAATTGATGTTGAAAATCTGGATGTTGTTCACAATTTATGCTGAGTGCAGTGCAGTAGATCTCCACACTGATTTGAGGTTAATGAAGGTCTGTGTTTCTGTGTTGTGTTTCCAATCCTGGCTGTCTTTGACATCCTCGTCTGTGCCACCACCGCCTGTAGTTGAAACGGTGCTGTCTAGATAGATGGGTAGGTGAGAAAGAGACTACTTCCTTTACGTTTCTCCCACTGATGATTATTGGTGCTTTTTGTTGTTGGTGGTGGTGTTCGTTGGGTATCTTTACCTCTGTTTTCTCTACGTTGACTTGAAGTCCCGTTTTCGCTTCCCTGCCTCTTCTGTCAACTTATTAATTTTCGCTTGTAGATCTTCGAGTTTGTGCAACATTAGACATAAATCATCATGGATGAAATCCAAATCTTCTAGGGTCTTTTCATGAGTCCAGCGTATGCTCATCTTCTCACAGCTCCTCACGGTTTGCTGCATGATCGAGTCGACTACAATCAGGAAGATGATTGGTGATAGTAGGTGGCAGCTTTGTCTTACTCCATTACCTTTACTGGTTTTGACTAATATGTATTGGTAGTATACGGTGCTCCATCGGAAAACACAAGTGATAACTATTAAGTGTTGAAGATTCGGGTGTAAAGAAGCTACTCATTGGAATTCCGAAAAGATGAATATTTGCTAACTTTGCCTAACTGTACGATTTAATATTTCTCATAACTATCGATCTCTATTTTCCAATAAACAATCTCTACTGGATAGACAGATAGCTGAAATCAACGTAGAACCACGTATACAAGTTGTCACACTTCACAGCGGCATGCAAAAAAGTGAATGGGAAGAGACTGAAATCAAAGTCTACAAAAGTACGTGAAAAGAAATGGGATTTTTAAAATCATGCCTAGCGAGAATGTCCGAACATTAGATGACTTTAAAAGGTGAATTCATCAACACCATTGCAACCGATTTTCAGCCTAGTAACCATGGATCTTCAACCAATGATTCATGTGGCCTCAACCAGTCAGTTTACACCACTCTATACTCGGTTCAAACTAACAGTTAGAACTGGCTGCACGTTTTGGTTTGGCTACCCGTAGCCTTCCTCCAACTCAATCCTACGTCGATTAACATTACTCAGCAAGGTAGGCAGTAGTTCGGTACACCTAACAGTCCGAGCCATCTCAGTTGATGAAGGTTCACAACCTTCAAGTTGCAAGGTAAAAAAGTGGAAGATAGAGAAACGGGAAAGAAATACAATCAGAAGTCATAGAAAGTTATTAGAAGAGCAGGTAGAGCGAGGAAAAAGTGTATATTTAACATGATGAGGTTGTGAATATGTATCCACTCCGCTACAATTGTCTCTGAACCATTTCACCTGAAGTCCCCAGTCCTAGTTCTCCTCGGTCCTGGTTCAGGTTGAAACATTTGACTGTAGTGTATGTGTACATATTACAAACCTCACTGACTGATAAGTAGTTTCACCGACTTTTGAAAGATACATTTAACCCTTCAATACTTCATTTTTCACTCTGAAAAACAAAAGCTCAATTCACCAAAATTTGTCACTGCCAAAAAGATAGAAATGAATACAAGTTGATCATGGTAGAAACAGAAGAAAAATTTAAACCGGAAGAATGTTGTTTTCTTTTTCCAAGGTTTCATTATTTGTGTTACAGAAGAAAAATACGGGCATCATGACACACTTGGGTTTGAAATCAATAGTATAGCATACGTAGAAAATATCGAAGCTGCTGCAGTCGATATCTATTCTCGTTATACTGAAAATCCTCTGTAGAGATTTTGTTTCTCCACTCCATCTTTCTAAAACCAACAGAGTAAACTTGTGGACTTTCTTATGGCTTTGCAATTTTATGCTGTGATCACTGTTCTTTTCAATTCCAATTACCTTGTTGTATCGCGTGCATTATACGCTACTTCTTCTAGTTAACAAACCGATATTACCATCACCACTAGCCAGAGGGTCCTTAATCTTTTTGGTGCCAATTTTTTCAATATATACAGTAATTTATGCTATGCCACCATATGAGGTGAACTGTAGTTGACCCTCGAGCAAGAAGTTCAATTTTTGTGTTAGTGGAATGTTTCTGGAAAACTTAACAGAATACTTTCATGCATGCTTGAGTAAATCAACATTCAACTTTTTGTTACCGGTCAAAAGTTTTCAACTCAATTGAATAAATCAGAATCTTGTTATTTACACGCCTTTTGATCATAATACTCCGATGTCTTTTTGTATTTGAATAACAGGACGCTCTCGAGGCTTTGCATTTATATATTTTCGATCCATAGAAAGCGCGCGTGCAGCACGGCTGCGTGCGCTCGTGGTCTGGAACTACATGATCGTATTGTTCGAATCGATTACAGTTACACTAAAGGGCCACATAATCCTACTCCCGGAGTTTATATGGGCAAGGAGAAACGGTAACTTCCTCCTCTTGTAGTATCAATCCTAAGGATATCATTTATTTATATATTAGCTTCTTTGTTGCTTTCGCTAAATATTCACTGTAACTTTTATTCCTTTAATTTTTCAGTCAATTTTCGCTGTGAGATGTATGATACTAGTCCGAAACGATAATTGTAGCTCTTTCCTTGTGCCCAGTGGTAGTATTCAACAAAAATTGAAATCGGCATTCCACTCATCGGTAACGACCGTACGTTTACATATGTGATGCACATCTTAGCCTGGGTAGCTATTCGTGTTTTCTTTTCAGTACGTATTTTAATCATGGATAAGAAATATGTCACCAACAGTGATGGTATATAGTATTCTACCAACCACGTGCGTTCGTTGCAAGCTAGAGTATACAAAAAGTACTTCCACGTCTTATGGAAAGTTTGATTTATTTCTGCAAAATTACCATGATCATTCCCACCACCTCTATAAGCTCGAAGATCTGTTTATTCATAGTGTCAAAATCGTTCCATGTAAATTGTATGATGATGTTGGGTAGTGGAACATTGAGTGCTTCACAAACGATTCATCCGTTCATCTTTCCACATTGCAAAAAAGAATTGGAGAGGAAAAGCAACACCAGTGAAAACAAATCACTATGAAGAAAGACTCATTTTGATGATAAGCATTTTTAACATGAATAAGAATGTTTTGAGTGGATGAAAAATGAATAGCAGAAAAGTAATAGCAAAGTATGAAGTGCGAATTATGAATGTATCTGTACCATTATTCAAGTTGGTTTCAAACATCTTTCAAACTTCAGGTCAGGGCAACAGTCAATAACTGTATTATTCGCTGACATGCCCTGCCGTTTTATTTAACGTAATCTTCCATCAAAATTTCCGACAGATCTGCAGAATTGGCTTAGTCACGTAAACCGGTGTTGATTTACAAACTTATTAGTCGATTCATCTCTACCGCCTGAAACATTTCATCTAATCTCATCGTCATTGAACTAAATGACAAATTTTATTATTCCTAAACCAAGATCAAATGGTGAATTTATGAATAGTGTTGATCATCATCCAGTTCCTGATAAGAGGTCAGCTTGAGATCAAGCTAATTTCCACTGTAATGTTGATACGAACAGCACAGCCCAAAAAGTCAGCATTTCTTAGAGTTATTCCGCCCATATGTGTTACGCGAAACTGGTTTATACACCGTAGTATGATAATACTATAGTTGTGCAATCCCTGTTACTGACCACTCTCAGTGTTTTTTTTAACGTACTCAGTTATATCTGTATGCTGAATGCCAAGTTGATCTCTAGTTCAGCCACGGAGGAGATGAAAGCGAACGAATGCAGCAACTGTCATGATGCTATTAACAATCATGAATAATCGGTACTGATCAATATTCTCACACTGACCCTTGAGATAGTCACTATGACTCATTCCTGTACACACTTTCCGGCAAGTAGCCATGTTTTCCAACGCCTTCGTGTTGCATGTTGCGTTGTCGATGGGTGATTGACTACAAAATCAGTCACTTATCATAAATTGAAACCTTTCGCCACTTTTTCCGGATGTTGACATGCCAGTTAGCTGGAAAGCCGCATTTATATCTGTTATCATATTGCATTGCTAACATGGATTGACGAAACTGTAGCGCATATAACAAACCCTAGTGTACTAAAACCTGTTTGCGTAGTTCTTGCAAGGAATGCTGATATTTTCTGTCTTCAGATTTAGTCAGCAAATGAAAGTGATGACAGAAAATCAGTGTAGAATCTCCCACACAAGTGCCTTTGGTTCAAGTCGCCATACTTCACGGTGGTATACAAAGAACAGGTGGATAGAAAAAGAGCGATATGAAAGTTGTATAAGAGAAGAAACAATCTGAAGATAACAGTTGCTTCAAATATTCAAGTTTTAGATGTCAAAGAGTAAATAAATCTGCGCTATTAACATCGAATACCTTAAGGGTGAAAATATTAACGTCGGGAACTCAGTTCCTAGTCAAGATGGTGTTGTTAAATGCTAGAAAATAACAATGATAAATAGCTCAATATAAGTGTAGAAATATTGGATGTCTTTACGAAAAAATTCCTGATAACTGCTAGGAAAGGTAGTCAATGCAATTAACTTATTTATTTTTGGATGGAAAGCCATGTAGCAAAAAACGATTGTTTCTTATTCTGAGACCGTACCTGTCTGCTTTTGATGGTACTGGACACTTTTTCGTCACAAGGCACTGTCTTGATTTCAAGTAGTGCATACAACAAATATGGAGCTCTAGATTTTAAAATCAAATAGAAATTCACATAGTTTCATGGGTTGACGCTTCCAGTTCTACTTCATTTCCTACATTAAAAATTTCCTGCTCGGGTTTCTTATGCTGGAATGGGTTTCCCCTCCAATCGGATTGAGCAAAATCGGTTGTTTTCGGTAAAAAAAAAACCAGTTTGCAGCATGCAAGAAACCATACATCAGGATACTTCAACTGTAGTATTGCATATGTAAATACATCTGATCTTCTGCTTGGAAAAGCGTTCCACTTTATGATCTACGATTCAAAATAGACCAGTTAAGTCTTCGAAGAATTCGTGCAATCTATGACTTCGGAGCTATGGAAATAGATTTCTGCATGTTCTGATTCGGAATATGTTTTCAATTGCACTGTTTTGGATGTTGGAATTATCGAACTGTTGTTAAGCATCGATGGTCTCATCTAGATCATTGCATATCATATGCATGAAAAATATTTTATTCTGCCTCGATTTGTGTTCTCTATTTTAATGTTACTATCGTGAAATTTACACTGAACGTACCCTTAATCACTAGGTTAATTGCTTTATTTTCATTTTGATTACTCTTGCTAAAATCAAAAGCTGAGTCAGTGTCCTCTATTCTTAACCCGTGATTCATTATTAGTTAGGTGAGGGAGGGGGCTAAATTTATTCATACAAAATATAAAGAAACTCGAAATCTTGAAACTACGTTGACTCTGGTGTACTATTCCAATGTTGGCATTAGATACTCCAGAATGTTTTTATAAGTGCAGATTCAAGTTACTGACATCTAGTCGTAACTTCCACCTATTGTTTGAATGCCAAGTCAGTAATCACAAGGGGGAGGTATTGGTATGTCACCACCTAGCGGTTATAAAACTGTATATAGGCTATTTTAGTGTAAATTTCTTGAATTATAGATTATTCCTCTGATTATTACAGATTATAAACCATAGAAAATAGCGAAAATGAGAGTATTTTCTATTTACTGTGAAAGATGAAGCTTGAAAGATTCACTTTTTGTATTCATCTACTTACATTTTTATCCAGAAGTTGACATTTCTTATATGGTTTCATGTACTACGTTGAGTCACTCCTAGTGTATGTAAGCCATGTAAACTATTCTCTAGCTTAGCTAAATGGGATAGAAAATGAGATCAGGACTGATGCTCAGATACCTGGACTGTTACACAATGACTAAATCACTAGCTGACATTAACTGAAAACCTGCATCAAAAGAAAGTAAGGAATCCGAACAGTTTAATAACTATTGTAGCTATGTGTCAGGAAGAATAGACTTAGAGTTTTAGTCAGATCTTTCCTTTCTTTCTGGAAATTTCCAATAATCTATGGCATACACACAATATTTCATTGACAATAATATTCTTGCCTTTCAAACTTCTCGATCACTGTTCTAATTTTAAACGTTAGAAATGTAAGATTATCTTCCGTTAGGATATACAGACGCAAGTATTCTAAAATTATTCTTTTAGAACCAGTCATAGTGAATCTGGACGCCGGTCGAATTTTGAAGAGCATCAAAGACCTTTGTATGAAAATAGAGATTCCGGACCACGTTCTTCTCAAAGAATGACTCGACATCCAACAACTGAACGACCCAATCGTTTCCGTCAATCGCCAACAGAAGAGACTAGTCGACCACGCAACTCCATAGCATACAGTTCAAGTGATCAAAACCGGACCCCGAGGACAAACAACAGTGTGACACAAAGTCGATCGCGTCCATCTCGTCCCAATGTGATGCGTAATACCTTTGATATGCGACGCCAACCGAGAAGTGAATTTGCATCAATGAGTTACAGTTCCGGCACCAACTGATGATTTGAATGCATTTAAGTCTCTACTATTATTTATTAAACAAAAGACTCATTGTAATTATCTGAAATTAGCTGAATATCACTGCTGCTTTTTATTGTGTTGATTTTCAGTTTTTTTGTACTTCTATATCAGAAAGTGGGATAGAGTTAAATAGTATGTGAAGTAGAATACCTGCAGCTGAACATCTGTTTCGCCTATGAACTAATCTTCATTCGACATCGAAAGGGGATTCATTATAACATACAGCACTTTTATGGATAACGCAGTCTCCTATTCATATGGAAGTAATAACTTTTGCTGCATTCTTATCTGCATGTTAGCGAAATGTTTGTTTCACTGCCTTGGAAGAAATTAATGAAATAAGCTAAATACATACCAAAGAGTATAACTGGTATTTTGACAAAAACTGATTTAAGTATTATTCAAGAAACAGAATATGCACATAAATTCATGGATAAGGTGTATTTGTTTGATGTGAATAATTATTAAAGAAGAAGGAAGTGAATAACAAAATATAGGTATCCTAGTCGCTTGCATTCATCGGAAAAGTATGCATTCAAATTTGAGAGAGCATCCTCATCACTGCTTCGTGTCAATATCGTTCAGCTTTTCTAACAAAGATGTAACTACCAGGTTAATCAGACAGTTTTCTTTGAATCACGTTCGCCGACATGTGTATTACACTAAACTCTCAGTTTATCACATTTTTAGCGAACTTGAACACTGCTATAAACTTTTTATGATTTCATTTCGTTTCTTTATTTGAAGAATTTCAACTGATTTTTTCTTAACGACTAAGGTGATATGGAACTCATATGTATTTGAGTTGCGTGTACTCTGGTGATCCATATGTTTCCTCATATCTCTACTTCCTCAGATGTAACTTCATGTTTTCATCAGTTATGATTTAACAGATTACCCAGGCAAACAGAGGTTTAATGAACCTAACATTAAATTGTGAATAAGTTCGATTATTTGTAAGGTCCTTAAATTTTAATATGGTGGCAGCTACTCTTTGGCCTTACGATCTCAGTATTTCACAAGAATAATGTTAGCTCATCAATGGACAACAAGGTAGATTGCTCGTGTTTTATTTCTTCTGCTAGGAAGTGTATGTTTAGGTCAATAAAAAATCAAACGTTCCATCTTAATGGAAGAAAATCGGTGCGAAACTCACCAATACTCTTGTTTGTTCAATGTTATTCATTGTGAATTCCTACGTGTACATTTGGGGATGGTGAGACTTTCTTCAAATCTTATTCACCTACGACAAATTCAAGGTGTTTTTTACATCGGAGTTTTGAATGAACCTGGCTTAAGGAATTTCTTGTACACTATATTCGATACAGCAAATTCAATTAACTTCCGTAGTTTTCTATTTTGATATGGGCATAATGACTTCTTTCCCAATGTGTTAAAATCACAAAATCTGATGCCAATGTGTTGTGCAGGATTCAACAAGTTTTTGTTACCTTCATATAATTGCTTGCATAATTTTGATATTTGATCCCGGGAAATATTTTCTATCAGTAACATGTCTCAAACTAACAATCACTTACTGATCTTCAAATTTAATTCAATGTCTTTGACGCACCACAAAGAGTATATTGCTTCTAGATCGCTTCTGTGAACAAGAGTCATAACAATTGTTCAGTGTGAACCACTGGTCGATGAAGATTTAGGATGATGATGCAGTTACAGAAATATTAAGTGGTTGCATCATTTTTCAGAATTTACCAATAAAAGTGCTTAACTACATCCCTAAATCCATTCAAATTGTTATTTGGCTGCGCAAAATGAAAGAACGCATAAAGAAGTCAGAATTCATTGTGAAAAATGTTCGGTACCGTTAATTTCAAGAGGTAGATGTGTACTGTATATTGCCTGACTAACTGACAAAGTCAACGTAGAGCCTAGGACACAGGTGCATCAACTGACGTCGCCATACTTCACAGTAGTATACAAAGAACAGGTGGATAGAAAAAAAGTAATATCAAAGTAGTGTGAGAGAATAAATAGCCTGAAGATAATGGATAGTGCGAACATTCAAACTTTACAAGATGCCAAACAGTAAATATATTTGCGCCATTGTAACCGGTTTTCAGTCTTCACCAGGAGTTCTCAACCACTGATTCTTGTCGTTTTGAGGACCCCAACCAGGCAGTCTTCATCTCCTGAAACAACTCGGACCAGCAGTAAGACATTTCATCAACTGGTGCTATGTCTTGCTCTGACCACCGATGTATTGTACATCGGAGAGACAACAATGACTCCTTGTACCTAGAAAAGTTTCCCCATTTCAAAGTGAAGAACAGGCAACGTGAAACGCTTTTTATGTGATACAGTGTCACCTGTTGAAACTCGTAAATGTATTTTTATATTACCGCCAAATTTCATAATACCTCAACTCAATTCTGAATAAACAACACATGCAAATGCCTTCTGCTTCTAGACTGTACACTTCATCTGTTTACGGCTACCTGATTTGCAATTTGTCACAAAACCACCACCATCAACTGTGACCTGGAATAGTCATGATCTTTAAGGAAGTGTTGGAGTGGAGTGATCACTCTTATTCAATGTCTTCAAATTGAATATACTACCACTTAGTTCGTTTTGATTCGGTAATTGTACAGTGATATACCATTACATGTACACCTGGAATCTTGTTCTATATGCTCCAACAGCTCTTCCTCCAGCATCTTATTTTATGGATTAGGTTCTTTAATTAACCACTGGTAATGGCACCAAAGTGGCAGTATTTGTCTTGTAGGTTATCTGAGAAGCCTGTAAAGGCGTCAAAATCACTCTGAATCCTGAAGTAGAATTAAAGTTTTACTAACTGTATTAGTCGATCTAATATCATACTTGGATTTCCATCAATATCTCTGTGGAGTCATTTGGTTTCATCTTGCTGGTAATTTTCGTGCTAAATTTGATGAAAACAACATGACTGATTCAAACTTAATTCTAAGAAAAATGAAATGAAACCCAAGCTGGACATCCTTTTGGCAAACAATATAATTTTTCACAAGTATATTTACGTTTTTCAAGTGTTGGATTTCAGTATTACTACGTACACACCAACCCAGTTTTCATCGATTACATATATGCACCTTCATAACTGAAAATACACTTTACACACGAGAAATTAAAATTGTTGCTTCAAACAGGAACTGCATTGTAAAAGAAGTATTGGAAAGAAAAATATTCAGATTTTTCTGGGGGCTTTTAAGTGTATTAAGAACAAAACGGTAGAACCCTCTTCGTTTAGCACGTTGATCAAAAGCAAAACTCGTCACTCAAATAAAGAAATGTTATGTACGCCGTCAAAATACACATTCGTCAAATCCGGTTTTGTTGAAGAAAGTTACTAGATCAGAAGTTAAGGAATACGTTCAAGTTGTTTTCAAGAGGTTTCTCATCGTGCTCACGAATGACTACCACTAAGGGTTGGTTTTCATGCTCGAGTGTTAACAGTAAGTGATTCAGTTATTTGTTTCAGAAGATATGAAATCATGAAGGTAGCTTATATTAGAACTGTTCACTTTTAAATCTCTAAGCTATTGTCGTGTGTCTACACTCAAATGTTACCGGAAATATTTTGCTTCTGGTGAACAAGGTCATTACGCACTCCCCTGGGAAGAGACAATTTTCTTTATGAGTAATCATCTGCGATGAAGCTTTGCATAGTGATCACAAAGTCGAAATTTTATGGCGTTTCGATTCCTGTTAGAGTGAATCATTATTTTAATTTTGTGCGCTTCCGGTTGGCAATGCAACTTACGCTAATAAAACTATGTACTGCTTTATCTTTTTTTAAAACGATTAAGCGTTTTTTGTTCGGTAAAGTCGATTTGTACTCATCATTGTGTGTGTAGAAGTTAATTTCACTTCTAACAAGTTGGGAAATCCCAGTAAGTTGTTGGCAGGAACGTAAGTGGAGCTCTTAGACTTCTTCAAGGCGATCACGATATATCTCACTTGGGAAAAAAGGGAACTGCTCATTCTGTTCTCAGACAGTTAGATATCAAAATTAAATCTTTCTCTGCAAGATAGTTGGGGATTTCGCTGCTCAAGTAAATCGAGAAGTCCGGTGGTTAGCGAATTTTGTATATATTCCACGTAGTAAACATTTTAATCATCAACACCCAGCTTCGTTTCACTTGTGGAATTGTATCAGTTCAATATCTAAGACCATTGGCAGGGCTTGTAAATATTTGTCTTACCAACGGAATTACCAAAATATTTGATAATTTCACCTGTCTGAAGCGGTCTTTCAATTGTGGAATTTGTCAAGATGTTTCTTCAACACAAAGTATTAAAGGCGCCCATATGTCATCGCGATATTCCACAGTTTTTATGCATCTTCGCTGGTTGTATTGAGAAAGTATTTCAAAACAATTTTTTCTGTTTACTGTATTTCAAATAAAAATTTAAACGCCTGCACTTCTTTCTGCCGTTTTTGAGACACTTGCTGTCATAATTCGTAGGCAGTTGGTTAGTGCGATTGTTTACAACCGTTAAAAGTCTTACCTGTTAGTAATCAAGTTGAAACTGTCGTCATAATTGTTTTCGTCAAAATAGCATAATACACTGTTTGCGTATAGCATTAGAACAACAGTTCCAGTGGTTATTGTTCTTTCTAGTTGTTGTGTGCATCTCAGGGTTGTTAGATTACGTAGTAAGTTTTATGTCAAGATTACTTGACCTTGTAGTTTGTAAAGTGAAAGTATACCCTACCTTTTTCTAAATGGGAGGACTTAACTGCTTTCACATCAGATGCTGATGAAAACACAGTTGAAGGGGAGATTTGTCTGTTTTGTATATGAATAAGGTTAATATGTGCATTATACATAATTTCCGTTAGCATGCACTGGTATACTTAATCAGAATAAGTCAGATTATTTGTTTTTGAAGGGAATTAAATCGATTGTATAGTGCGAAATAGTTTGTGGCAGTACACCGTGGTTGTAAAAAGTAGAATAATGCTACTCTGC